TCCTGCAGAGTGGCACTGTGCTTGTTGCCCTGCCACTGGGGATGTGGCAGCAGCACTTCCAGGGCACCTTGTGCCTGCTGGGCTCTGGTCTAAGACCCCTTGGGACACACACACCCCTTGTGATACCTGATGTACAGTGAGGAAACCGAGGCACACATGGAGGTTGGGCCCCTGCCCTTGCTCTTGTCATCAGACCTCGGACTCCACTAGGTGGGTGTAAGTGAGTTTCCTCAGCCGTCAATCTTACGCAGAGGGGCTCGGGCCGCGGTGCCTGCACACCCGCGGTGCTGGAGCTTGGGCAACCTGCCCCAGGAGGGTGCACATGCTGCACTTGGACAGAGACTTGGTTCTTGGCCAGCCCTTCAAGGGGCCTTGGGCCTGCCTTGCCCCATAGGGGCTGTTAGGGCCCCAAGCACATGTCACACTGAAGGCTCTCAGGGCTCCTTGGGCAGCTGGGGGCAGCTGGGGCTTGGCACTTTTCATTTGTTTGTCAAACGTGTAGTTTTGTCTTTTATGAGTATCTGTGAAATTTTCCAGAACTGGCCTTAACCCAGAGTGAAATATTTTTGGAAGTTTTATTTTTATTTATGCAAGGTTTTGGGGCTTATGCTCATGGACTATGACAACTAATCTATACCTTGTGGAATTTATCTGCATTTAATGGATTCTTTCGAAGATTAGGATGACTCAATCAACATTCTTTGAAAATATGTTTTGTACCATTCAAAAAAAATTTGGCCGGTGGGGTGTAGCTGGCCAGTACAGGGGTCAAAACCTGGCCCTTGGTGTTGTCACACCACACTCTAATCAACTGAGCTAAATGGACAACCCAGTTTTGGGCCATTTTATAATATTATCTCATTCCTTAATATTTGTATGTCTTCAGCTTCATTAACTATTGTACTTGTATTGACCTACCCAGTAGGGTACTGGTGTGCCTCTTAAATAAAATGGATATATGAAAACCCCACCACCTTTAATCCTGTAGGGGATCGCAACCCTCGGTGTTGCGCCCGCACCACGCTCAGCCAGTGAGAGGGAACCGGTCTCCACATGGGATCCGAACCCTCGTCGGAAGCGCCACCGCGCTCCCAAGCAGCGCACTCTCCAGTGCGCCACCGGGCCGGCCCTATTTTTGGAAGTTTTAACAAAATCCCTTCAGTCCCACTTGTAATTAGGAAAGGTGGCAGATATTCTTAGGATTGTTTTACATACCAGACTGTCCCCAACCAGCACAGCTGACCCAGACAGATCCAGCCACGTGCTCCGCTGCAGAGGCTTCTCTCAGGGAGGAGCACTCCCCACCCTGCCCTTTGCTCTCTGGCACTTCCGAGTCCCAGGTGGTGGCCGCGGTGGGCTGTGTCCTGGAGGATCGTGGCTGCAATGAGCTCATATTGGTCCTCAGCAGCCACCCTCCCTGGGCACCACAGGCCATGGGTCCTGGGTGGGTGGTGGGTCCCGGCATGTCCTGCAGCCCCCACCTCACTCACCATGTTTGTTCGGTCCTCCAGGCACGAAGGGAAACCTGACAGAGGCCGAGGTGCCTCTGGCTGCCAGCCTGGCCCTCACAGTGGGCAGCATCCTCCTTTCTGTGCACTTCCTGCTCTGGCAGACTCTGGTGCTGTGGGCAGACTCGGCCCTCAGCGCCACGCTCCTGGCACTCCACAGCCTGGAGGCCGTCCTGCAGGTGGTCGCCATTGCCTCCTTCGTCAGGTAGACGTGGCCCAGGACAGCCCCACGCGGGGCCCAGCCCCCACTGTCACCTCCCCCACTGCAGATGGTTTTGGATGGTTTACAGATCTGTTTTGGCAGGGGTGGGGGGCTAGGAACTAGGACAGAACAAACTGCTTGGGGCCCAGGTGTTGGGAACAGCCGCAGGGTGGGGCGGGGGCATCCACATAGGCCCGTCAGTGGGGACCTGGTATCGGCCTGGCCGGCACTGACCCCTAGGCTGAGAAGGAAGATAAAGCCCTTCAGAAAGGAGCCTTCAGCAGTCACACCAGCCAGCAGGCAGCCCAGCAGCTCCACGTGGTCACCGCCCCCAGAGAATCGGCTTCCTGGCAGTTTCTGCAGGAGCGTGGGCCACCCGGTTAGTCCCCATGGGAGCCAGTCAGGACCACGTGTTTTCTGTTCTATCGCCCACTTGTTGCATGGCATTTCTTGGCATCCTACACTGTCCACACTGGTCCTGATTCATGTTTTGAGAGCCCAGTCCACTCTTGCCAGGCCCTGCACCAGGATGGGACATCTGTGCCCTCAAGAAGGTGCTCTCCTGAGGGGCCAGAGCTGCAACAGGGGTGGGTGCTGTGTGCCCGGTGCCTCTCAGTGCCCCTTGGATCCTGGCTCAGGGTCAGGCAGGCCCTGGAGGAAATGGTGTGCACTAATTTCCAAAAGAGTAAATGCAAACCAGCCGGCTCTAGTGTGTGGGGTGTTTTCACCTCAGCCACAGTCCTTGGAGAACAGCTTCAGTTAAAACTTGAGTAACATTTGTGCTTAGTGCTAAACAAATTCTATCTTGTGATTTTTTTTCCCATTCACAGATTTGCTGTAAATGCTCCCTAAAGTGTCTGTGCTGATGCTTTATAGTAGGTTTCTGTCATTTGTTTCTGTTGTGCATTTTCTGTGTTTGGAATAGCATGTTCAAATGCCTAGATGTCTTCTCTTCACTGTATTTTATTTAATAAAGAAGTGTGTATATCTCCACGAATTTCTCCTAATCATGGCCACCCACCTCCCCCAGGGTTCTTCTTCAGTACAAAAGAGCATGCCCCCCCCTGCAGGCTGCGTCACCCCGTCCCGGGCCTGCTGCCATCCTCCAAGTGCCTCAGCGGGAGCAGCAGCGACGGAGCACCCTCGGTGGCCTCTTCTCGTGGGAGTGAGTGGGAACTCCAGTTGCTCCTTGGATGACTTCTTTGACCTGCGGCCCCTGGGGCCCCCTGCAGGACAACCTTGAGAACCTGCTTTCCAGCTACTTGTGCCTGAGCAGCAGACCCCCATGCCAGTGTGGGAAGGGCCTGGTGCTCCAGAGCACTTCGGGCCGCTCCCTTGCCAGCATCCCTGTAGCCCCCGGCACTCACCGCCTGGACTTGGGGAGGGTGGGGTGGTGCTCTCACTGCCTGGGGACATGGCCAGCCTGCCCTGCAGACCAGGGCGGAAGCCTGCTGCCCTCAAACTTTATGGATCTGAACCACGCACCTTTGACACCCCGATCTTGCTGGCTGCACAAAGGCAGTGGTCACCTGTTCCATAGGGGACACCATGGCTCCAGACAGCCAGAGGCACACAGCAGCCACTTCTGACCCACCCAGGCTCAGTACTCACGATCTGAGATCTGACCGATGAGCACAATTTTAGGAATGGAGAGGTACCCCCCAGCCATGCACCCCTGCGATGCATGTTTCCCACTCTGCGCAGTCCCTGCTGTGCCTCCAGGAAGGGCGAGGTCTCAGGTGTGTGTGCCCTCCCCTCCCCACAACGCTAAGCGCTGGGTCGGGGCACAGCTATGGGCTGAGCAGGATCTGCGGGTTTTGTGAGATCACACACAAAGGCCATAAACCAGGAAGCCAGGCCTTGCCCAGGCCTGGAGCAGGCGCTGGGCCTGGAGGATGGAGGATGAAGGCCAGTTCCTGCCACCCCTCCAGCAAGCTCACGGGGGTTGTGCCAGAGTACAGGCGGGGCAGGTGGCCTTGCTGCAGGAAAGGGCAGTGGGGGCAGAGCACCTTCCTCCCCAGCGGCCCCCAGGAAGTGCTCCATGCCAGCCCAGGACAAACACACCAGCGGCCCTGCCCTTCTGGGACCACGGCCCTGTGACCCCTGCCTCACAGACAGCACCCATTTCCACTGCCCCCACCTCAGGTACAACAGCCGAAGAATTTAGGTCCCTGCCTGGGGGTGCCCGGCCATGGCTCAGGCCTGCTCTCTGCCCCCTCCTCCACCTCCTGCTCACTTACCAGCCAATGTCACCTGCACTGTCTGTCTGCTGCACGCTGGCCTTGTTCTGAGAAGTCAGAGCAGCTGGGGTGGGCAGGGGTCAGGAGGAGGGCAGAACCAGACGGCCTGATGCATGCAGCCTAAGGAGGGGCATGCTACAAGGAGAGGGCTACCCCAAGACAGCACGCACACAGGGACAGCCGAGGCCACAGGGGCCCCCACCCTCCCACCTGACACCCCATTCCTCAGGGGATGGCCAGGCTGGGCTGGGTGTCCAGAGGACAAGGGGGCTTTGGGAGCTCCTGGCGTGCGCAGGAGGGAGTCCCCCGTCTGGGGAGCTCAGGGCCAGGGGCCTACTGCTCACATCCAAGCACAGACTGAAGCCTCTGCCCAGTGTTCCTGGGAACAGACGGGGCAGCTGACAAGGGGAGGCCCTGACCTCCCCAGAGCCGGTTCTTGGGGCACCAACCAGGGCTGCCCCTGCCGGCATGGCCTGCCCTGCGCAAGGACGAGCTCGGGGCCCCGCCCTGCGCATCCCGTGCGGGGCCCGAGGCGGGTGTGGGGGGCCCCCGGGGCGGAC